TGGGTCTCCTCAGGGTGCCGTCGGCCAAACAGTGTCGGCTGGCGACCCCCAGGGGGAGGGCCTTCTCTGTGGGTGCCCCCACCCTCTGGAACGAACTACCCCCGAGATCCGGATGATTCCGGATCTCCTTACTTTCCGCCGCGCCCTCAAGACATGGCTTTTCCAGCAAGCGGGCCTGACCTAAGGAGGATTTTATTTAGGGACGATTTTAGGTATAATTTTAATTGGAACACAGCTTCGAATATTTGGTTTTAATTTGGTTTTAGAGGGGTTTTTATTTTTATTTTTATTGATATGTGTATCTGTTTTAATATGCTGTGCACCGCCCTGAGTCCTGCGGGAGAAGGGCGGTATAGAAATTAAAATAATAATAATAATAATAATAATAATAATAATAATAATAATAATAATAATAATAATAATAATAATAAAAGGGAGTTACGATAGGTACTTATTTCTGGTTGCCACAACATCTGCACAGTCACATGATTGTAATCTGGGTGCTTGGTACCCAGTTCACAATTACAGTGTTGCAGCAAGCTGTGATCACACGATTGCAATTTCTGATGTGTCTTGCCGGTTTCCACAAGTAAAGTCTATGGGAAAGCCAGCAGGATGTTGAAAATCGCAGTCACGTGAGGCTCTTGCTTAACACTTAACTATGGCAAGGCTCTTGCTTAACACTTAACTATGGCAACCTTAACTATGGCAACCGGGACTGCCAGAGGTACCATTGCTAAGCAACGTGATCACATGACATCACACTTTTATGATCTTATCACTTAACAATGTTAATTCCAGTCCCAATTGCTATTGTAACCCAAGGACTATTTTTAAGTTGGAATACAGTGAGATTGGAGATACTTAATAAGTGTGCAATTAGAATTAGGTTAGGAATGAACAGGTCCTAAATGAACGCGAATTGAATACAATGGTGAACAATCAATTGGATGGAATTAATAAAATCCTCCAAAATGGAGAGATGAGAAGTTTAAAGAGCAAAGGATGATGTATGAATTAGTATATGGTAGAAACAATTATGTTTTGTAAGTAGAGAAAAGTATGTAACGAAATTGGTGTAAACTATATTCAGCTACTGCATATTCTTTTTCTTTTTTTCATTTTCAATATCCTGCATTTAATATCTTTGGTTTACTTTCCGTCCTTTTATTCAATTGCTTACCCCCCAAAAAGAATAATGTGATGGATTGGAATGCATGTATGGATGGATTCAATCTTGTCCCTGATAATAAAAAACCTCCCTTTTTATAACCTTGTAATATACTGTAAGATTATATTTTGTGAATAGATTTCATCATTTTGATTTCTTGGACTGGATAATCTAGAATTGTGACTCTTATAATTCACTCAATTTGTTACACATTCGCACACATTTGAAATTCAGCCCATAAAGCATACTGATTGTTCATTATCATTGGATTAATTGGGATTTTATTACTATGGAACTGTACAATTAGATGACACAGAACTGTAAATTAAAGCATCTTGTTTTGGATAACTGAAAACTTTACAGAATGATGGCCAGTAATATTTTCAGATTTTTTTTTATTTTTCTCCAAACTTTAGCTATAGCTATGATCTGTCCCACTCCCTTCAATATAACCTTACTGTTTTGAGAATGCCTCTAGATGTACTTAAAACAGAAACCAAACGAACTCGTCAAGAGTGTTTTGATATTTTTGAAGATGAGGGACTTGCTACTCAAGATGGAAATTGTAAGTATCCTTTGCATACAAATAAGTCCAGTTTTGTAATGCTTTTAATTGCAGAGATCTCTTAAGTTAATCAGTATCACACTGAAAGTGTTCAGAGTTAATAAAGGATTACATAAAATATCGATTACACCTAGCTTGATTTTTAAAGTAAAACAATTTCTATACATTATTGATCCCTTATTTTGGTTAAGTTAGCATATAAGTTAAGATAATCATTTAAGCAAGTGATTGTTACTATTTTACAAAAACTCATTTATATAAAAAATCAGTGGTTATGGATTTATTTATAAGAAATTTATAAACGGATGTATAATCTATTAGTGATATATAACTACTACCAATAGATACTAATGTCCATACTAATGGGAAAAATATTGTGGTTCTCTGATACCTTTGGATTATAAACAATGATAATTGATTAAAAGCCTTCAGTTTTTAGCTCACTTGTATGAAGTAATTAAAATTAAATCATTCTTAATTATTTATACCGATTATTTCTTCCCACAAGTTACGACTGTAAATGTGTGAAAAATTCTCTTCAACCTCAGAATTTTATACAAGTTACAATTCTTTATATCTGGAGGTCATAAGCCTGGAAACATTATATAGGCCTATAGTCTCATCTAGGCAGTATGTAAGTACTACATAATTGTGAGGAAGATTGCATATGGATTTCATTCTATAAAGAAAGCAAATGGAAGCCAAGTAGTGCCCTTTTACTAGTGATAGCTTCCCTAAACATAGTAGAAAGGGGTGCATTTAGTGTCTTCCAATTCCATCAAATAGAAGATTGTAAGATCTCATAAAGCAGGGGTGTCAAACTGGCAGCTCACGGACTGGATGCATCACACGTAGGCCACATCCACCCCACCTCCGCAAAGACAAAATAATAATAATATTGCGGTACATAATGATACATCACGTGACGCGATCGAGTTTGACACCTGTGTCATAAAGCATTTGGATTGGTATATAGAATTAGGAACAGTAGTCACTTTTCTTATGCTGTTGCTGAAAGCCTTCTGTCAATAAGAGAAGGGCGGCATATAAATTATGAAAAATAAATAAATAAATAAATAAATAAATAAATAAATAAAGCAACACAGTTTTGAATTCCACCAGTTTCTTAAAGAAGTGGGGAAGAGTGGGAACTTTTTTCTGTCAAGGAATATGCTCTTGAACAGTGGCTTATATACTTTCCCCCTTTTTTCCCCTTTAAAAAAGCACAGGCCTTGCTTGGTGTTGTAGTGTAAAGGGAAGAACTCTACTATATCAAATCAAAAAGTAATATAGATAAATATCTTGTTTCCAGTAGCAGTGAACAAAATGTTTCTGGTATTCTGATCTTTCTAATCTTATGTAACGATTCAGACATTATATGGCTCTTTTTGTTTGTGTTCCATAACATCCTTAGCATGGCCAGAATCTCTGGCCTTTGTTTATTCACCAGTTATATTGCAGTATCTTAATAAACAAAGATACTTATCGAAATAGTTACTGCATGTGTGTGGTATAAACTGACAATGATCGGTCTAACTTAAGGTTCAAACTAATGTTCTGTTTTTCCATAATTTTTCAGGTGTATTTGGAATTTGGAGTGAACCTTACAGAAAATATGTATGGAATGGGAAATTGCTTGATGTTGTCAAAACTGCAGTTCATCGAGACTGGCTTTTGTATGTTATTCATGGATTTTGTGGGCAGTCAAGTATCCTTCTTCTGTTAGTTATTAATGTTTGTTTCAGTAACAGCAAATTGCTATTCTAGAAAGAAAACTGAATCATGGTAACATACAATAAAGTCCTTCCTTAGGTTCTTTGTATGTGGCTATTAAACTCACCCACAAATTAATTAGCTGTTTTAAAAAGAACCTCTTAGATCTTAAGAGCTGGAAAAGAAATTTTCAGTGTTCATCTACACGCAGATAATGAAGCACGAATGAAAATTCTTATTCTAAGCATGCCTATTACGAGAAATCATGAATGGGGTTAGTGTTGCCAGTGAAGAAATAAAAACCAAATAAAGACTTCATTTCCTACCACAATGACTGTGTCGGACTCCACTGTGAAATTAGCTTGCAGTGGAATAATTGAGCCTACTCCTTTTGGAGCAGATAGTAGAATAGCTAACAAAACTTAATTACTATTAAATGCATTTTTAATATAATTGAAAAATGGACATGGATATACCAAAGTAAATGAGACCTTATTTATTATTTTAGAGTACATACATAACTGTTCTAGGTTACATCCAACATTTGATTTAAGAAAAGTTCTTCTACTTTTAGATCAGTTGAAGAAGGAGCAATGTGGTTTTTGTGCATTTCCTTTTCTTTTTTTTTGAAATAGTTTTTAATTAAAAGATTTTATATAAATAATAAGTATATTCAAAGAAAAACAGTAAATGTGAAAGAGAGAAAAAAGAAAGAAAATAAGAAAGAGACAAAAGAGGTAGAAAAAAAGAAAAAACAGAACAGCAGACATGAACAGAAATATAAGAAATGGCTTCTGATCCTCTTGGCAGTTATACAGACAATTCTAATCAAATCCCTCTCTCTAGGATTACATCATATTTCTCTTCTTTCTATAGACTATTTTTTCTAATCAACAAAACCCAAAGTCAGAAAATCATTTTCTTTTTTATATAAAAGTCTATAAAGAGTTTGCAGTCATTGATAAATGTCAATAGTGACCTTTCGCTAATCAAATAATTCAATTTAGTTATCTCAGCAGGTTCAGTCAATTTTACCAACGATTCATGGTTGGTAGTGCCGAATATTTCCACCTTTGTGCATATAATAGTGTTTGCCCAGTGATCATAAATTGAAACAGTCTTCCAAGACTCTTTTCTAACTGTGTATCCATCAATTCTAAGGGGAAACGGTCTAGCTTTAATTGAATATCACTCTTTAAAATCCTTCGTATGAATGTGTTTATTTGAATCCATTTTTTTTTAAAAAATGTTTACATGTCTACCAAGCATGATACAATGTCCCTTCATGTTGCTCGTATTTACAACAGACATTTAGAATACCTGGATATATTCTAGATAATATCTCTGACATTACCTACTAATCATACATCAGTTTATACTTTTGTAGTCTTTCTAGCCTGGCTTTTGGCATTTCCTCCACTCTTCCTTACAGAAGTTGTCTAGCTCAAAAATATTCTTCAAGGAAAACTGGAAAAATGCCATCATGTTAATATTTAATTGAATCTGTTCTTTTTGTCTATGGCAGGGGTAGGCAACCTTGGCTCTTTTATGACTCGTGGACTTCAACTCCCAGAATTCCTGAGTCAGCATAGCTGGCTCAGGAATTCTGGGAGTTGAAGTCCACGAGTCATAAAAGAGCCAAGGTTGCCTACCCCTGGTCTATGGAGATTCTCAGTCATCCAGGTCATGGTTGTCCCAAAGGTGCTTTTTCAGAAGGTAACTGGACTTTGTTTTTCCTTGAAGACAATTCGTTTCTCATCCAAGAAGGTTCTTCAGTTCTTTGTTTCTCCTTGAAACATCTTCAAGGAAAAACAAAAGCCCAGTTGACTTTTGGAAAAGCACCTTTGGGACAATCTGTTCTTTTGTTTGGTCACATAATATTTACTGTATTAGTGGCTGTTGCACAACCTCAGAGAATAATAAAGCCACTCCATGATTAATAATTGGCAAGATGATATGCTAGTAGAGATTGGTTTATTATCTTGTCCTGAATTCAACAGCTTAAAAATTTGGTCTTTTTAAGCAGTGTTTCTCACAGTTGAAATTGCCAACTGAACGTAGTTAGATTTTTTAAAAAATAAACCTTACCCTGATTTGTAAGAGTGAATTGCCTTCATTTTCAAATCCTTGGATAGTTGCTTAAAGGAATCCATGGTTATTAAAATAGAAAGAACAACGATCCCAACCAGAGATTTAGAAGAGTCAGAGTATTTATTTACCTCTGAAAGTCTGGCTAATTGTGCCATAAGCATGATGAGTAACAGATTTGGAGGCCTTATTCTTAGCTTTACTATATAGTGTAGTTTGTTTTTTAAAAAAAGCAACACTGAATCAACTGGAATGGTATCCAAGCTTCTGCACCTGCTGTATTCACTCTTTTCTTATTTTGAATCTTTAAATGGTTTAATGCACTTCAGATTTCCCAAAAGATACAATGTTTAATTTTGTATCATGCAGAGGTTATGTTAACCTGTCTTCACCAAGGGATGCACAAAACATACAATTTGACCAGCAGGGCCTGATATTTTTGCATTCAGCTCTTAAATAGAATGTCTGCCTTTCTTGTTTTTTGTTAGGGTAGTTTGAAAGATTAAAATGTTATATTGCTAGACTAAAAGAACATTCTTTTTTTTAAAAAAAATAAGAACTGTGCACCTGCTCTGTGTTTATGTATATGCCAGGACTAAAAGGGAATTAAAAGAAGAATGTGGGGTAGTGAATGACATATATTTATAAACCTTATCTTGGATTCCAAGAACTGCTTATTTATGGTCGTCCGGTGTACGTCACTTTGATAGCTAGAAGATCAAGTAAATTTGCTGGAACACGGTTTTTAAAGAGAGGAGCAAACTGTGAGGTAATTCATATAATAGAGTTTTTTTTCATTGTTGTATGAAAATGTTGCATGAGATGTACTCTCCTCCCCCCCAGGCTTGGACTTGGTGGTAACTGTTTTTTGCCATTTAGGCAAATCTAAAGTTCTAAATCATATTTTTTTCTTGGTTTTGGCAAGTGTATATAATGAGGTCCCAGACAAGCTAGTTTATACTTCATTTGTTTTATTAGTATGATCAATCATCTTAAATAAAATTACAAAACCTCTGCATCTGTTATTGTTAGATGCAGTGATTCCAGGCTTTTCAATATACTTATGTGTATTGTAATTTTATGATCGCAGTGTATGTGTGCCCAGAGGAATGTTCATTTATGCATTTCAGATTTCAGATTTCTTTGACAAAACACTGCAAGTTAGTAGAATTCAGATTTTTATCATAAATCCATAGGAGCTTCAAGGTCAAACTGTTTAATCGGGTTGCAAACCTAGAAACTTATTCAAAACTGCTTGATCTTCTTTTTCTTAATGTCTGGGAAAATATTGATACTCATTTACGCAAGCAAATGTCTTAAATATGCATTAAGGTGGAAGGGCTTTTCCCCCCGGAGTTTTGGAGATCAGTGATTGTGGTATGATATTTTTTAACCCCTGTGGGCTTTCTCTGTTCTGCTGTTGGTATCCTCCTTCACTCTTTTCTTCTCTCTTCCAATTGCCCCATGGACACTTCAGATAACCAAGCCCCAAGCAAAGGTGAATAATATCTAAGAATTGTAGATATTAAGAATGTATGTTATTTATTTATTTATTTATTCAAAATTTTATTTATAATACAATTAAAAAAAAACATTGGATATAACGTGACATTCCAGTATATACATTCTTATCAAATTATTCCACATTTTACAGTCGGTTCTTCATCTCTGAATATACATCTAAGTTTTATATACAGTACTTATTCTAAAATAACATATATAATTAGTGAGACATTTTTCCAAATAATCTTATTTAGATCTAGAGTTACAGAAATTATTGTTGAATGATTAAGACAATGCCATGAATCATAATTAATCCCGTGAATCCATCAATTTTTCCTATGCTAAAACGAAAACTTGGGTGACAATTGAGTGATGATACTTTAGAAGAGGATGTTGATAATTTGAAGTATCATAAAGTTACTGCTTTTTTCATGCAGGGAGATGTAGCAAATGAAGTAGAAACTGAGCAAATACTTTATGATGCTTCAGTAATGTCATTTTCTGCTGGAAGCTATTCATCTTACGTCCAAGTGCGAGGTTCAGTCCCTCTGTATTGGTCTCAGGACATATCGACTATGATGCCTAAGCCACCAATTACACGTACGTACAAAATATTGATTTGTAGCTTGTGTGCAAATTATGTGTTGGTAAATTACTGATTCTTGTGCTTCCAGCTGTAGTTTCAAGATGGAAAAAATAATATTTTGACCAGTCAGAGCTAATTGCAAATTGTACTAGTAAAAGTTTTCTAAGTGATAGCATTAATATATACTCTGGTTATACAATCTATACTATCACATCCTAGGAAAGTGGCCATGTATCCTCTTAATATTTTATAGATAAGGCATTTCAAGACATAGACAAATACAGTATATTTTCTTCCTCACACCCACACTTTAGCACACCTCTTTTTTCTTTTCTAAGGGCAGCCAGCTAGTTTTGCAGATAACCTCCCAATTGAAATTTAAACAGGATCATGTTGTTACATTAGGAACAAAGCTTGTGTAGGTAGATAGTGAGGGAAAGTCTATTCTTTCAAAATAAATATATTAGTTAGACACAATGCGAGGCTCAGCTTTCTTAAAGAGGCTGCTGGCCTCATAGCATCCTTGTGCTATTCTCCTAGCAAGTAGTGGTCTCTTGCAAGACTGTAGGGGGCTCTGATTTTTAAGAAAGTTCTGTTTGTTTGTGGAGTGTGTGGAGCCTCCTTAAAAACGCTGCCCCCTACAGTCTCGTGGGAAGTACTACTTACGGTATTAGGAGAATAGCATGACGTTGCCCTGAGGCTGTAAGCTTCTATAAGAAAGTTGAGTGTCACATTGCATTGCATCTCATGGGAGCAGGCCGAACCCTGGAGAGCCCCTAGGCACAAGAAGCAGGGCACCAGGTGCCTCAGGTGGGGGAGGCCTCGGCAGGCAAGCCTGGTCCTGTGCTAGGCTTTTAAGGGCCTCTCCCACCCGATGCTTCATTTAAAAACCTGCATGTTCATTTAACAATTGAATTGGAGGGGTCATTAGATAAGATGCTTCACTTAACTGTGACGACATATGACCATAATGGGCGGACTCCATTACAGTCCTAAATTGAGGACTACCTGTAATAAGTATTATCCATGCAGGGATGGGTATAGTGTTGGAGCAACAGAGCTATGACAATTTTTTAGAAATTCAATAATATATTAATCATTTAGTTAACTGGCTATCAAAAGCATATACTTAGCTTTATTATCTATCACTTACATAGAAAAAATAGTATTTCTTGCTTCTTCCTGTAGGCTGCTTAGGTTAACAGAACAGAACTCAAAAGACATATTGGAGGCTAAATCTGGCATAAAACCATTGCTGCTTTGTTATCTTCTTTTGCTCTCAAATAGAAAATATGTAATATTGTGTTATTGAATTATGGATTTGTTTTATCTATTACGAGTAGTTATATAAGATGGAGCCAGGGGATTAAAAAAATATGTTGCACTGTGTGCTTTAAAACTCATCAAAAAAGAAAGTAAAAAGGCAATTGTATCACTTCATTGATCCAGTAAAACTTCAGATACTGAAATTAAGAAAGATTTCCTTCTTTTCCCTTTATCCCATCTACGTTGCCCAGCTGGTTAAGCTTTTTGAACAACATCATAAGTGGTATAGGAAGCTGCAGAAAGAAGTAAAAATCTTTGGAAATTGTACCTCTGCTGGTTGCACTTTGATAAGATAGTGGATCAAATCATTCTATCATCAAAGTGATACTAACTGACTGCAATCCATTATTTGTTCAGTTTTTTTTCTTGATAAGATCAGTAAGTTAGTAGGTAAAATTGAAAGGTCAGTACTGCATACATACCATTCTGAACTCCAGGGGAAACAGTAGAATTTAAATGCAACAGATAAAACCATAGTGAAGTGGGAACTCTGTTTCTGTTACAAGGTCATGCTCATTCATCTAATTACAGTTAATTCAGAACCTATGTCTTTTATACATACTTCTGTATGGCCAAAGTAGATCTGAAACCAGAGTGCCCTTCTGCATTGAATTCTTTCAAATATTGTATTCCAACACTGTCAGCCACGTGAGTTGTTGGGAAGTATTTGCTTAACATGCATCTCAGTAGTTTTTTCTAGTACAGGTTTGTTAAAAACATATCATGTAAAACCAATCTTACTTCATTCTTTGACAAAGTGACTAAATTAGTAGACCACTGAAATGCTGTGGATATAGTATACTTAGACTTCAGCAAGGCATTTGACAAAGTAGACCGTAACCTATTTCTTGGTAAGCTAGAAAAATGTGGGATCACCACCAGCTGGATTTGTAACTGGCTAACAATCTATACTCAACAAGTAGCTCTTAATACGACATCTACATGGAAGGAACTAACCAGTGGGGTGCCACAAGGTTCCGTCTTAGGCCCAGTACTGTTCAATATCTTCATAAATGACTTAGATGAGGGAATGGAAGGAGAACTCATTAAATTTGCAGATGACACTAAGCTGGCAGGAATAGTCAACACCCCAGATCCAGCTCAGGATCCAGAAAGATCTTGACAGACTTGAACGATGTGTCCTATCCAACAATATGAAATTTAATGTGGAGAAAAGTAAGGTTTTTTACACCTGTGCAGGAAAAAGCAAAGATACAAGTATAGATTAGGTGAAACCTGGCTCAAAACAGTAACTGTGAGAGGGACCTTGGCATCCTAGTGGACGATCACTTAAATATGAGACAGCAGCATGTGGTAGCAGCCAAAAAAGCTAATACAATCTTTGGTTGTATAAACAGAGTCATAGAATCAAAATCACATGAAGTATCAGTACCACTTTATAAAGCCTTAGTAAGGGCACACATGGAATACTGCATCCAGTTTTGGTCACCACATTACAAAAAAAATGTTGAGACTTTGAAAAAAAGTGCAAAGAGCAATTGATGATTAAAGGCCTGGAGACTAAAACATATGAAGAACGGTTGCAGGATTTGGGTTTGTCTAATCTAGAGAAAAGAAGGACGGAGGGGGGGGCATGAGAGCAGTATTCCAGTATTTGAGAGGCTGCCACAAAGAGGAGGGGTTCAATTTATTTTCCAAAGCACCAGAGGGCAGGACAAGAAACAGTGGATGGAAACTAATCAAGGAGAGAAGCAACCTGAATTAAGGAGAAACAATCAACCACTGGAGCAGCTTGCTTAGGAGTTATGGGTGCTTCATCACTGGAGGTTTTTAAGAAGAGACTAGATAGTCACTTGTCTAAAATGGTACAGGGTCTTCTACTTGAGCAGGGGGCTGGAAGGTCCCTTCCAGCTCTATTTTAATTGATAGATCACTTATTATTTTTTGTGTGTATGTTATCATTTCACAAAAGAACTTTGAATAACAATATAAGAACTTTGTATGTGTGTGTGTTTGTGTGTGTGTGTAGAAAAATCACTTCATTTTCCAGATTCAGAAAATTTTATTAAAAAATAGATGAGAGGAAAAGAGTATCATCTGTTCTGAAAATAAGCCCAATTGGTTTCCATCTACTTTGTAGTTTCAATGAAGATTGCTAATGAAATGTATAGCATATTAAGACCTAATAAGATCCTAGGATCTGTTCATGTAATATGAATTACTCTTTTTCTAGTGGATCAGGCAGATCCATTTGCTCATGTAGCTGCTCTTCACTTTGATCAAATGCTCCAGAGATTTGGCTCTCCGATCATCATTTTGAATCTTGTGAAGGTAAACATTTTTGCTTGTGTCAATTCCTAAATGTTGTCAGCTCTTGGAGAGAGAGAGAGAGAGACCATAAAGACCAAGATCTTGGCATTCAGAAAAATCAAGATAAATTATATATCTTATTAAACCATTCAAAAATATTACAAAAAAGTGTTAATGTACATGGGATCATTTTCCTGATTTATTTTCAGGTAAGTCTTGATGATTTTGTGAAATATTTTTGCTTTAATATTTTCAGTACATTCTAATTATTCATTTTATTAATCTCCTTGGAAATTTTTAACGCTGACTATAGGCTGTATTTATTGAAGGTATTATTACTACTACCTTGTGTAGGGAGGCTTGTATTTACTTCTATTTTCCAATCCATGTAGCATTCCCATGGAAAGCTGCTACCAAAATTCTTTGACATTTCAGAGACAAGTTCTCAGAGCTATGCTTCCCTTTTGCGGTTTTTTAATTGTAACTTGTCAGTAAGTAAAATAAATTATTTCTTTTGGTAAAGAGTTTTAAATAAATATGGCTAGTGACTTAATGCGGTGTTTTGTGTGATCAAGAATTTCTGTCATCTTAAGGATTTCAGCTATGTCTTTGCATATATGGAAACTGAGTACATTCATACATTTTGAAATAGAATTCCTAAATGTTCCTAAATGTGCCAAACTGAGGATAAAAATCAGTTCTTATAATAAACTTTCTGCTTCTTCTAAATATTTTGCAAAAAATAGATTTCTTAAGAATCCACAGTTAGCTTATGTATATATTCTACATACCAGTTTCAGAACTCAAGGTTTTAGCAAATGATGCATGGATGTACAATATATTCAGAAAGTATTCAGACCCCCCTTCACTTTTGTCAATGTAGAATCAGGCTGCAGCATAAAAAAATTGACAAAAGTGAAGGGGGTCTGAATACTTTCTGAATGCACTGTATATCTTTCTAGGCATTGCTGTAAGGAAAGAAGTATCTCTTGAGGAAGCATGCAGAGTTTGAGTGAAAAAACCAATGCCAACATCAGTTTGGAGATTAACCATTATTATCCCACTCTTTGGAGGTACAGATTAAGGGAAAGACATTTTTAGTTCTTCAGTATGAATTAGATGGAGGAAAAATGAAGCAAAGTTTTTAAAAGTTGCCATGAACTTGCTAAAATTGAATTTGATAATAAGCAATCGTATAGAGCAGTGGTGGCGAACCTATGTCACAGGTGCCAGAGACGGCATTCAGAGCCCTCTCTTTGGGCACGCGCGTCGTTACCCCAGTCCTAGGCCTTCAGCTGGGTTTTATAAAACCTTTTCGCTTCAGGCCTCCGCCGCCATGTGCAAAAAAAAAAAAAAAAAAAAAAGGTTTAATCAGTCAATTTCAACTTCTCAATTGCAACGTTCTTGCAAAGTTGGAATTGATTGATTGAACTTTTTAGTCCCACCCAGTCTGCTGTTACCACTGCAGCCATGCCCACCCAATTGGCCACGCCCACCCAATTGGCCATACCCACCCAGCACTTGACGATGCATAAGTGGGTTTTGGGTTGCAGTTTGGGCACTCAGTCTCTAAAAGGTTCGCCATCACTGGTATAGAGGTTGTCTGTACAATTCTATAGAGGTTCTCAGGTTGGAATGCTTCTTTTATTCCTTCTACGTTAGAAGAGAAAATGGAAAGTTTTCAGTAGTGATCAAAAGAAGATAACAATTGTATTATAAAATCGTAATTTTCATAGTTGATTTACTTGCCCAGTTCCAAATCTTAGTTTGTAAAGCCTGATCTTAGTTTATGATTTTAACATGAGGTTAAATTGCTCTTCTATACTGAAGAATGGGGGAAGATTAATAGTGTTCAGTGTACATTGTGGCATCCGAATTCTGATATCAATGAATCATCAAGCAAGTTCAACATTGTCTATGCTGATTGGCTATATTTCAGCTGGGAGTTTTTCTGAGCCCTACTTGGAGATGTCAGGGTTTGAAGGTGAGATCTACTACAAAGAGTTTGCTCTAGTCCAAACTTATAGCCCCTCCATCTTTAGAGAGATCTTTTGCAGGTTTCCACTATAAGAATGTTGCATCATTTCTGGTAGCCAACTGGCAAGCCTTAAACTTGCATTCTAATAGAATTACCCTACATTATTAATGTAACTTGTTTATTTTAAACTACTGTTTAAAATACTGTATGGCAGTTATTTTACATTTGTGATATTATAAACTTGTACTACAATTCAGTTCACATAATTTTAATATCAAAAATAACGTTAAAGAGCATGAATTCCAGTCTTTATAACTGTGTCAACACTTGAAGCAAAAGTGTATCTAAAACTGTTTCATTAATAAGTAATTCTCCTAACTGTTCTTTTGTCAGCAGCCACTGAAGAGAAAGCTTAGACATACAATACTTTTTTAATTTTCTTTTTCACCCACATTAATTAACAGGCTGGCCCTTTGATCACAGGGATGTCAAACTGCCGGCCCATGGGCCGGATGCGTAATGCCAAAACCGCACCTACCCCATTGCAATGGGAAAAAGTCATGACATGTCGTGACACGTCACGTGACATTGAGAGTTTGACACTCCTGCGTTAGAACATTAAATTACTCACTGAGAATGACACAGCAGGGGAAAAATGAAGCAAATAATTTATTTTCACTTGCTTTGTTGCAAGTTTCTTACAGAACAGCTGCTCAAGATCCAATCTGACATTCCAAAAAGCCATTTATCTGACAGAATATACAGGTCCTTAGTAGTATTTGAATGCTATTCTTGCTTACACCCTGCCAGCTTTACTAGTGGCTGAGCCAAGGAGAAAGATTAGTATTGTTCTGTCTAAACACTATATAACCAAGTTATACAGGTACATAATGTTGGGGTCCCTCAGAGCCAAAATGCTTATAATCTGAATAGAGGCAAGTATTTTAGCTGCCATTGTTCATAGAGCTTAGGTTCAAACCCAGTGACAGAAAAAGAATGATATAGAAAAGAGGCTAACTTAGTAAAATACAACCCTCATAACAAATCATGCTGTCAAATAACCTGCACTTTTTGATTACCCTGATTTTCCAAATTATTATTCTTTTGTACATTTGCCGGGGGGGGGGGGGAGAGAAAAAAAAACATAGAAAAAATATCTTAAGAGTGAAGAATTCTGATGCATTTCAAGAAAGTCTGAAAAACCCCAAACAGATATGCAAGCTTCCTATAGAAGCTTGGGATGTTGAAAGTAGTGTGTCAGTTATTTGTTATGAAGAAAAATTCCTCCTCTGAGAGGAACAAAAGTGGAAAAGATGTTGAAGTGATTTTATGATCTCTGTCAATTGTTGCTTCCTTGGTACCCTAGAATCCCTCATGGGATTGTTGATATTACAGATAAAATTACCGAGTGCATAGCATATGTGCAGCATTACTTAGTATATCATTATTTATATTAATAGCTAACTGAATAAACATGTTTTCTAGGTGATATAGTCATGGGTAGGCAGAGCATGCTTAAAACGAAAAATGAAGGTAAGAGATGTTAGATATCTGTGAGGGTTCTTTGCTCTCCAAGGATTGAGCACAACACAGCATATCAAATACTTTATTGCAGCACACACCTTCCCTAATAATAGGCCATTGCTCTGAATCTACTCCATCCTTCTTAGACTTTGCAAAGTGATGTTGCCACGTAACTATGTCTTTATTACTCAAGTTCTTTCTATTTGGTCTGTTAATACTCAGTTCAAAGAAAAGTCCCAGAGTCTTTAAAGTAGCGTCAACTTTTGCCATATTCCAGAAGTTCTTATATTACATAAAATGGGGTGCTGTTTCAGTGTGCTTGCTCCTTTTCTAGTTGCTGCCGAGCTCCAGACAAAGCTCCAAGCAGGACTCCCACCAGGATATCCAGCTCACCATAGTTTGTGATCCTGGCAGTGGACCGGTAGTCTTCCTTCTTGCTTATAACAGCTGCCAATCTTCAGATGTTTCCTCCGCTTCCCTGTCTCTACATTGACTTATCACCTTTTTTTCCTACACTCTTCCTCACTTTGTGTTAGTGTGTGCTTTTCTTAGCTAAGAACCTGGGTGAGGAGGAGTTCCTCTGAACATCAATAGTTCCTTTCAAAAAAGCAGTTGGCATCCCAACTTCACTCCCCCTCACAATATATGAGTAGTAATTCACATATGATTTCAAATGTCTCTATTATTGGTAAAGCTTGGATTTAGCCCAAAGTGCTTTCTATTGTAGCTTTTTAGAAACCGGAAAAGAAAGGAAGGAAGTGTCAAATAAGAGTAAAAGATTACTTAAATAATCAAAAACTCATTCTGAAGTTGCTGGAAAATCAAAAAGTAGCAAATGAAACAAGATTTCCGGCTACAATAAAAATGTTAGTTAAGAGTCTGCTGCCTATGGTGAAAAAAATAACTAGTGATGATGGTCTCTGTAAATCTCAGCATATGGTAGCAACATGGCTAGTTTTGTTCACAGAGGCTAAACAGAAAGAGATCTACTTAAATCTGGCTTCCCCATTGACTTTGTTTGTTGGAAGTTTGGAAACGGTGATCACGTGACCCCAGGACACTGCAAAATGTCATTAATAGGAGTCAGTTGCCAAGCATCTGAATTTTAATCACGTGACCATGGGGAGGGTGCTGCCATGGTTGTCAGTGTGAAAAACGGCCGTAAGTCATTTTTTCCAGTGCTGTTGTAACTCTGAACGGTCACTAAGTGAACTGTTGTAAGTTGAGGATTATCTGTAAGATACCATCTTGCATACACATGTGAGCTGCATTCACTACCAAATCCATGAGCTCCCTTCTCCCTAATTCACGTGAACTGCTTAAAGTGCTCTTGGAAAGAAACATTCACACCAAGCCGAATTGACCCTGAGCTAGGCAATCAGTCAGGAACAAGTGGTTGATATTCACTGACCACATCTCAAAAGATAGTATAGCTAGTATGCTAACCTAGAGAGGGATAAATAATGACACTCAGATGGGTTTGTTAAAACCATTCCACTGTCATGCAGTATAATTTGCA